ACCTTTCTCCTTGACGTGGATCTGGAGAGTATCAAGAGTGATTATGCCATCAGTCAAGGGGAGCAGCTCTAGCTTAATTGTCGCTGTAGATTTAGAAGGTACGCATCTGATGCATTTAGAAAGTAAAAACCCCGTTATTAGTTTTATAAGGGTAAAGCCTTACCAGAAGAAAAAAAACTGAAATGGATATTGTTATTAGATGCTTACCCCAAGGGAACTCGACTTTGTAGCCAGAGATGTGTGCATCCCAAGCCGCTCTTTGGAACAACATCTGAAGGATTTGAAGAAGAATTCAGTTCACCATTTGAGTTCTCTGTCCTTGTCTCCAGTGGAATTGGGGGTAACGAGTGCCCTTTACGCATCGTTGTGTTGCGTTTCTCGCTTTGTACCCTCTCTGTGAATTCAGAGAACCCAAGGAATGGACTTAAAGGGGAGTTAGGTGTGGAATTTAGAGACACCACAGATGGAGGGGATGTGAAGGATGCTGGAGCGAGAACTATTAGAGATAGATCTTCTGATGTCAAATTTGATGCCTGAAGAGTTAAAATCTGAAACAAATAGAAAAAAGTATGAGGTACAGAAATCAAAGGTGCCATTGGGATATAAGTTGGCTGGTCTTCGCAGATGGCCAGAAAGTCAAATGTGAAGACGACGACCACATTGCAATTAGGTGGTATTGTAAATATTGACTAGTTTCTTATTCAAACATACATCTGCGACGACTAGCCACAAGTTAGTGTTAGCACCTTTTGCACCCACAACTTAGCGACAACATCTGACTAAAGCTAGAGTAATTTGGGTAAAGACTAGCAGCTACTTGCAACTGCAAACGCCTTCCATTAGTTCATTCATTGTTGCATTCAACTTCTAGAGATAGTCGGAGAGAGAAAGATAGAATGACCTGAACGGGTAGTTGAGAGGCTCTCCCATGGGGACCACAAGGCTCTCCTGACATTTCAGACGCAACAGAGATCATCAGATCCCTCGAAATTCGCGGTCTCCACTTTGTTCGTTGTTTGAAAAACAGCCTTGATTCTGAATCCAACAAAAGAAAAAAAGAATTGAAGAATCAGCAATAGATCTGAATAAAAGAAAGACAAGAACATGGCTACAAACCACGGCAACAGGATCTACCTGTGTAGTTGCACCGACATGACACCATAACAGCATACTGATCACCACTTAAACCGCTCCCTTTTCTTTCAAAATTTACAGTTGGAAGAGACAAACTCGATGACTTGAGATCTTTTCTTGCAGCAGAGGGCTTCAGATTACTCCCAACAGAAAAGGCAGGCTTCACAATGAATGAGTGTTCCTCACCTTTCCTGAAACAATGCAAGAAAACCTAAGGGTAGCTAAGCGCACTCTATAATGTTCCTGAAAGGGAGCATTCTAGGCTTGGTTTTAGCCACTATGATCGCTTGTTGAGGATAGTTACCCTCAGAAACACGCTGGATCTGATAACTAGTTCTATGCATCTTGGTCACTACCCAATTTTATCAAGAGTGATGGGGGTAAATTTCAATACAAAAGAAACAATTGCGATGCTTAAGGAAGATAAGCTAACCTGAGAGTTAGATTCGGTAAACTGTGCTCGTTTCCAGCTTCAATACATGCAATTGGTACTGAAGAAGGGGAAGCACTTTTTCCTGCCTCTTCAAAAACAATTGTTATGGCGTCCACATATATTACAATATCTGGAGCGTGGGTTGGAGCCACATTCTGCCAATAAAGAGAAAAATTAAGATGCATCCCAGAAATCAATTGACCACAGTAACACCAATGTTTAACAGCACTTCATGGACACACCTTTATCTGAACGCAGAGAAGATCATCTGTATTGCAGTCAGCTGCAAAAGAATTTATCTCAATAGGTTGAATAATCTCGAGTTTCCTTCTCCACCTTCTACCAGGAATGCAGATCCCTTCAAGTCCACAACGAACAGAGAACCTATCCCGCTCCAATGGGACACCCCGGAAAGATAAGAGCTCTTCAGTCCCAGACTTCTGACCATTTCTTGACGTTTGACCTGAATAACTGTCCCAATCTTCAACATCAAATGATGGTTTAGAGCTCTGGACTTTCATGGGTCCAGTGACTGGTGCACTGTTTGGAGGCAGAGAGGACATGGAGTAGCTTCTAAAATGGCCGAATGAGAAGAGTTGAGAGCCTGAGGTAGAAGAGAGCGCTGGCTTGTGTGCAGTGCTGCTGATACCTGGGCTAGGGGTTAAAGAAGGTGGTAAAGATCGGGATGGTTGAGAAATAGTGTTATCCAACGGTATCAACCACTTTAAAAGATTCCCATAAGGATCCTTGTTTTCATGATCCAAATCATTATTGTTCTCAGAAGGTTTTTCCCTGTCCTGATGCTTCTCAAACTGCAGTATCTCAATGATAGGTTCTTTGGGACAGTCAACAATATAAACTTGTAAAGAGACCTGCATCCTTCCAAACAAAGGTGTTGTGTGAGAATCAGTAGGTCCATCAACTCCTTATAAAAAGTTTTAACACGCAGAAATCTGAACGAGTAGCACAGTGACATAAATCAGACAAGGAATATTACGCCAGAAAAATAATTTCACTGGTTCGTATAACAACTTCAAACAGGCTACCCTAGTCTTATTAGCAAACCAGAAAGTAACAAAGTTACCATTACATACCACTATGTCTCCATTGGGCAAGGCACAGCACTTTGCCTTACTTCTAGCTACACCTCCAGCAACATTAGGATCAAAGTCTCCTCTATCTACAAAAGCACTAACACAAGGTCTCCTTTTCCTGCTTTTCCTCTGTTCATCTAACTCTGTATCTGCGACCATAGAGCTTTTCTTTGACCAAAGTGGCTCACCAGACTCTGCAATCCTAACAAAGAAATGAGACTTCTGAAACCTGGAAAGCAAGTCTTCTGTTCGTCTCTTATGATCTTCCATCCTCAAGATTGATTCACCATCAGATACGTCCTTTTGTGAATTCAAACTCTCTTTCCCAGGACTGTCACCATTTTGAGTTGCAAATTGGCCATCAGGACTCATTTCTCCATCCCCTGATGGTGTACTCGCCCCATCAGACATATCTCCGTTTTGCTTGTCAGAGACCTTCCTCTGTCCAGTTCTGCTCATTACCTCAGCTACTTTAAAAGGGGTTATAATATCTGTATCTCCTTTACTTTCAGATAAGCACGCAAGGATCTGAATCTGTTCCCCTAAAGTAGAAAATGTCTTTGATGTTCAATAGCTAGTAGCAGTTCAAACACAAACGATGAAATGATCTGCGAATTAACATACCTGGAAAAACAAAGGAACGATCCAGAGACCGTAATGATTGAATATCAACCGACTCCGACCAATTATCAGGAATTTCCTCTGTAATAAGAAATCACCTCTTAAATTCAATACTTTGAAAATCAAAACTGAAACTTTAAAGTATAGAGAGTAAAGTTATATACTATATGGAATGGCGATCCATCCTTCTTCCTCAGATACATCTGAGAATCTCTCCATACCAGAGCCACCAGTCTTTCCATTTGATTCTCCATTGCCATTATCGTCTCTAGATCCATCAGCCACACGATCTAGATCTTCTACTGATGGGTATTGTGGGAAAGGCTCTTCGGCTATTAGCCCTTCCAAAGTCGCTCCAGGCTTAGTTGCTTCCGGCGGAGGTTGAGGCGGTGTAGCTGGTGGTTCGCTCACCGGTGGCCGATGAGTAGCGGAGGAAGCAGATCGAAGCAAGAAATTCATTCCTCAGGAAGGAAAAAAAAAACCCACAAAAACTACATCACAGAAGAACGGAGTTTAGTCAATTTCTCACCAATTACAGAACTGGATCCAACCACGAGAGTAGGAGAAAACGAAATCGATCCAGATCATACTTACACGACTCAAAATTGAAAAAGCTTAAGCAACTGGAGACTCGAAATAAAGACGAAATGAAGCTTCGAGAGGATCCCTGATCCTGATTCCTGATGCAGTTTTCTTCGGTGAATTCGATCTGTGGATTGGTACTCCAGATTCGGCAGGAGTTGATTGATGTTGGAAGAATGTATGAAGCGCAGTAAAAGAA